GTCAATACAATACTTTGCTGAGAGGAGTAATTATTTATATTTTGTTGATTCATGTAGTTTTTCAATTTTTTCACGCATTGTTATGTTTTGTAAACTTTGAGAATCTAAAGACCTTGACCATGCACGTACGTGCTCACCATAAATTCGACACAGGTGGGAAATTTTTGCATATAGCACTTTTAGTGGTGATTGAGTTTTTAAGACAAATTCCTCTTAAACTAAAAATACCGATGCTGGCGACATGATTTAGTCTTTTCCTTTTCTGATTCAAGTTTTTAAGAACATTTTACTGGGCACATCACTTCAGTTTGATCTGCCCTGTGACCAGTTGAGAGCTAAGCTAAGGTTATCGCTCCAGAGGTACCCCGAAGAAACAACTAAGTAAGCAGCGTGAAAGGGCAAGGAAACCTTCTGTCACCCACACCTATCAATGATCGTCTTCTTGGATGACTGTGCTATCACCTTAGGCTTTAGAAAAAAAACCTCTCGCAAAGTGTGGTTTGTTCCGCTTTCCCTCCGCTTAAAAGCGGTTATAAAAAAAATCCATATAATTTTCATGTCTACGCATTGTTACAACTTGCATACAAAAAGAGAAAAAACATGACATTGATCTAGTTCAATTTTAAATCCAATCAAAGACATTTACGAAAAATCTCTTCGAGAGGTGATTTTATATTTTGAAGGAGAAACAAATGCATCTTTAACAGTTAGACCGAGTAATCTGGTGAAGAGCTAAGAACAGATGATTTGAGAATTCGATTTATTCTACACGCTTTGAACTTGTCATCAATTATATCATGCTGGCAATATTATTTATGTTATGAATAGGATCAGCGCCACGCCCCGATAAATTAAAAAAATGTCAAATCAAAAATTCAAAAGAAAAGGTTTTTTGGGTTCACAGATATCGCCAGACTTAAAAGGAATCAATACCATGACCAAGCAAATTTTTCTCTCGAAAGACAAAAACACTTGTTTTCACCAAATGTAAAAAAAAAATGTTATTTATCACTTTGTCTGGGAAAAAAGTGTACTCGATATCATGGTCAAATGAATGCAAAACTGGTATTGAATCAATTATTTAAGAGAGGAAAGTCTTGCCTCTTAAGTCGCACATGCGCGAAAATAATCTCTTCTTAATAAAGTAGAGGGCAATTATTGTTTGCCTCAGTAAAGATTCAAACAGCCTTTGAACCTTAAGCGTTGAACCCCACAGTTCCTTGCAAGGTAAATATCGATTTTAGTTGATTCAAAATTAAAGCCTCACGTTTTCGTAGAATTTTTCCGTGAAATATTCGGACGTCAGCAAGGCAAGTATTCATGTGAGAAAGTCAATTCGTGATGAGATCATCTAAGTATACTTTAATCTAGTAAAATAAGGTCCTGTAGTATGCTTAAATTTTTATATTTATCTAGTAGTGAATCTAATATGAAGAGTCCCATGTAAAATCCCATGATAACACAGGTCAAAATTTCTTTAACGTGCATTTATGTCATTTACGAACTTAAACTGATGTTGCCTATGTATGTCAATTAGTTTAATAACTCATTCACACCAAAGCTTAAACCTGTTTAAAAGCTGGTTTTTTTAAACACGATCTCAAATTTTTTTCCTCATACTCAAAACTAAAAAATAATAATAAATACTAAACTCATGTTTGTCGCCTTTAAATGTAACACCTGGCATTGAAAATACAAGTTAGTAATTACTGGAAAGCTATGGGAAATGGGGGTTTTTATTTCTCTGTTTCTGATTTTCACTCAGTTAAACTCACCTTAACTAAACATGTTTTGCTAGTGCGAATCTGTTCAACTTATTTTCAAAGATTATGGGGACGAGTTGTCGACTTCAGATGTAGCATATTGAAAATGCAAATTGGCAATTACTAGAATCCTATGGAAGATTAAGTTTTGCAGTCCTCTGTCCCTGATTTTTATTCAGTTAAACCTACTCCAACTAAATATGTTTTGCTGGTGTGAAGGTATAAGTTTGAATATGCTCAACTTTTTTTTGTGGAGATGAGTTGATACAACCCATAGAGCGTATTTGTACGTAAAGGTATCCCACAGTAACGCATAGTACATCAGAGAGGGCCAAATATGGAAAATAATGGTCAATTAATCCAGTATGGACAGAAACTAGCTTCAGTGGCTTAAAAAAGGGAATTGTAACAATTCACAGACTCATCTTGGTGATCAAGGGTGAAAGGAGTTAAAAATTATTTTTCTCACTGAATTGAAAAAATCTTCATTACATCATTACTTGATTTTCCTCAGAGTTCACAAGCAGGTGCCATTAGGATGGATTTAGTAGTATTACGTAATCAACATTATTAGGTAATTTTGGTTTTTATCAACTGACTTGACTTGGACACCGTAAAGAATTTCAAAGCTGACGTTTCAGGCGTTAGCCCTTCGTCAGAGCGAATAGAGGAATTGTGAGTTGTGTGTGTGTGTGTTTATATACAGAAAATAAAGTGGGAAAACGACGACGAGAAAAAGAAGAATTAAAAACAAGTATATATTGGCTAAATGAAAAGCGTTCGTTGATACTGTGGGGATTCATAGTGCCGATTTGAAAGATAAATTTTTGTTCTAGAAGTATGTAACTTTCCGAACTGTCTTGATGTATAGGAAGGCCGCAGACTTCCAAGTGCTGCTTAGAATGATTAGGGAGATTTCGGTGTCTGTCAACTGGTTTGGATGTGTCCCTTTCATTCCTTTCTATGTCGCATAGGTGTTCCGCGAATCGGTCACCTAGTCGTCCTCCTGTTCCACCAGTGCATATCTTTTTTGACAAAGTGCAAGTTATGCAGTAGATGACATTGAAGTGATCAGTTATCTTAATGGATATTTGGGTCCCGATATTTAATCAACGTTATGAATGAAACGGCAAGTTTTGTATCTTGCGCATTTGAAAGTACCGGGTCATTTTACCCTCACAAGAACTGCGTGGGTTTTTTTTGAGGGTGAATGTGAGAGTAAATAAAATGATAAAGGAATTTTTCCTTCTGTGACGTTTATTGTACTGACTGTCGGTGAACTTTTTGGGCGCGGAGGTAGCCCGCTTCAGCGAAAGAAACAGATAAAAGACATTACTAGATAAAAGACGAAGAATGCTTTTGTCGCGTTTTAATGAAAGTAGTGGAGGTTGCGAAAAGATAGTTCAAGTCTCTGAATCGTTTTGAAGTAATTTAAAGTTTTTAAGAATGGGAGATTTAACTGCGTGGTTGTGAGGGTGAAATGTGAGAGTGAATGGAATGCGATCAGTATTTTCCTTCTGAGCCGTTTGTAGTGCTGACTGTCGATCAATTTGTTTGGGGATGGAATTCTTGACGCGAAGATGAATACAACAAGTAACTAAGAGAGTCTATAAAAGGGAGTAATTTTCTAAAGAAACTGTAGTGCTGCGTCGGTGGGAGAGTATAGCAGGTAATTTAGTGTTAACAATTGAGTTGAAAACGTAAATTGGCCACCGTAAAGGGTAAAAAAGCTGACCTTTCGAGCATTGGCCCTTCGTCAGGGCGATTGGAGGAATTGTGGGTTGTGTGTGGGTTTATATGCAGAAAGTGGAGCTACGCTATTGGTGGGAATATGGTGATGAGAAAACAGGAATAAATTAGTTGAATGCACAACGCTCGTTGATTCCGTGGGGATTAAGGGATTAATTTGGAAGATAAATTTTTGTTCTAATGTTTTGCGGCTTTCCGAACTGCCTAGATGTAAGGAAAGGCCACAAACTGCCATATGCTGTTTTGAATAATTAGGGAGATTAAAGTGTCTAGCGACTGGTTTGGATGCGTCCTTGTCATTTCTTTCCACGTCGCGAATGTGTTCTCGGAATCGGTCACCTAGTCGTCTTCCTTTTTGCCAATGTATAACTTATTGCAATAAGTGCAAGTTATGCAGTAAATAACATTGGCGGAGGTACACGTAACGTGATCAGTGATCTTAATGGATCTCTTGGGTCCCGATATTTTCTCTACGTTATGAATGAAAGGACAAGTTTTGCATCGTGTGCGAGTGCATTTGAAAGTTCCAGGATGGTCATTGGTTAAAAATGAACTCCTGACCAAAAAATTGCCAATGTTTTTGCCACGTTTGAATGAAATAAGTGGGGTTTGCGAAAAGATAGTGCCAGTCTCTGAATTGTTTTGGAGTAATTCAAAGTTTTTAAGAATGATAGATTTAACCGCGAGGTTGTGAGGGTGAAATGTAAGAGTGAATGGAATAGTGCTGACTGTCAATTTGTTGGGCACGGTGGTGGCCCGCTTGAACGACAGAAACAGGATAGCCACATTTATCGAAAAACTGGCACATTGCCTCTGATTATTCGCAAAAATCAGAGTCGTCACTACATAAAAGACTAAGTCCGAGAAACTGTGAAAAAGGTATGGAGTTCTTGACGTGTGATAGATGTGAAGATGAATACAACAAGTAACTATGTGAATCTGTAGGTTTGTAGTAAACACTAATGCATAAACTGTTGTCTTCAATTGAAATTTTGATGTCTAGGAAAAGCCAAAGAAGTGTCGGAAATTTCCCACACACAAGTTCGGTGGGACAACTACAGTCGTCACTGTAACGACCGTAGAGTTCAGGTTCGGGGCCAAGACGTATTGACTGAAAAATTGGTGTTCGATAAAACCTACGAAAATATTGGTCTCCGAATTCGGAAAGCAATTGAGTGCAAGCACGAGTTTGACTAGACGGAGCAGTGTTTCATAACTAGATTCCTTAACAGTGCGTTGATCAAAAAAGTGTGATGAGAAGTTATTTCCGAAAAGAGCTGTATAATGCAAATAAATTTTGTCGGACTATAGCATTGGGTAGTTAGCTTACGCACAGCAGTATGCTCCATACAATATAGTACACCCATTAGGAAAGCGAATGGAGAAATTGTCGCAAACCTAGATAAAAGATATCTGAATAATAACAAGAAATGTTTTTATTCATGCTCTCAGCCTTCAACGCTCAACTAACCAGATTTCCTCACCATAATGATCCCCGTGGAGTCGATGGAGCCTACCACTGCCTCATTAAAGGAACTGGTAAAGTCAAAGCCCTCTCTTTTATCCAGATGGAGAGAATTTGCCGCAAACACAACTGTCCATGGGCTACGATATGTCGTTCAAGCGTCTCTACCTGGTTATAGACGACTGGTGTGGGCAATTTTACTCTTCGCAGCCTCAGGTGCTTATTTGTACAATTCGACAATAAGCTTCAAAAAATATATTTCAGGACCAATAAGAACAGAAATTTCGCAAGAAACACCTCGGGATGGCTTGAAGTTTCCTGCAGTTACAATCTGCAATTTAAATCAGTTCATGAAAACAAAGATAGACACGACCGATGAGGACGAAAACTTTGAAAAATTGGGATTAAACATCAGCGGATGCAGTGAAACAAGAACTGTTCGTGGTAATCTGACATGTGGCCAAGCTTTGTTGTGCGCTTTTTCTGATTATGGTCCCTTTCTGGTGGACAACTGTAACTATTCGACCAGGCAGAGAATAATGAGTGTTCTTAATCGCAAAAAACGTATCTATGACGAAAAAGAATTCCTTACTAAGTATGGGCATGACCTCTTTGGCAATAACAGCATGAGTGGAGATTTAAAACATTGTGCTTTTAAAGGCCGGGAACAAATAAACTGCTCGGAACATCACTTCATTCCAGTTGTTACAAATAGTGGCATCTGTTACACGTTCAATTCTGGTTATAATGGGTCTACGAAGAGTGAGCCGTTTCGTTCTTTTTATGAAGGTTCAGATTTCGGTTTAGCCATTGCTCTAAACGTTCAAACAAATGAGTCCACATTCAGTGCCTCCTCTAGTGGCTTAGCAGTTAATGTACATGACCAAGACACCTATGTAAATTATCATACTGCGTTTAAAGTCCAGCCCGGTGCACATGCGTCTGTTGCAATCAAGATGACCCAGGTAAGTATATAAATGCTGTAACAAAGAAGGCTAGTAAAACTGATCGAAATGTCCACCTATTTGAAATGTTCTTGCGGATGAATCATCTTGTATTTTTATCGGACATATTCAAACGAATCTCAACGTATTTCCATTCTTCTGCACTTACTCGGAGCATCATATCAAGGTTAGCCTTCAAGTAGATGTCTCAGGAAACAGTCTTCCGTTCGAGAGGCAAGTATTTGGTTAACCTAGGGGCTCCTTACACTTTCAACTCAATCCAGCTTCCTCTCTCTCTTTCTCTGCCTTGATGTATACCATTTTATCGTCTTTTAGTACAAAAGACTCCAGGCGCCCTTCAGAACAAATTGCAGCAAAGTGGATAGCTTGGCGGGGATCAAGTCATACACGAAAGATGGCTGCATCTATCAGTGTCAGTCAAATCAAAGTATGAATAAATGCGGATGCCAAAAAAACCATGCTTTACCAGGTAGTATAAAAGATAAATGTTGTCCTTTTACGAATGAGCTTGAATTCAGAATTGTCTTAAACTATATATGGATACCAATGTGTTATCGACTTAGCTCGTTCGGTCAAGATATGATCCAATTTTTTTTTCAAAATTTTTGTAAAATTGCCTGGACAGTAAAGAATGTACCATATGACATAAGATACTGCACCACAAAATCGCCTGTTCAAGCCACGAATCTTTCTTTGTTTTGACCAGCTAAATACTTTTTCGGACTGTATCGTCGCCAGAATTGATGTCAGACATTTTCTTCGAGATAAATTTGAATCGCATAGAAGTTATAAGGTACATAAGCAAGCTTCAAGCTCTCTTCACATTTTGTAAGATTAAAGCTGGTACTCTCAGGCTTATCTTTCTCGTTCGGTAAGCTATTGAGAACATAGTATTTGCTTTATTCAGTGCCCGGGACAAGCCCATATTGTGTTATATTGAAATTTATGCTGAAGACGTTTTTGCCTCCACTATAGTAAAGAAACATTCCAAAGTTGTGCCCCGTTTCTTATGATGTCCTTGTTTGACATTTTTGCCTAGATCTGCGGGGTTTGCCTGTGTGTTCCTTTCAAGACAATCCGTGTCTTCAAAAAGCAAGAAGTAAGAAATATATTTTTTTAATAAGTCGTTCTCACTCCCTCGGTGAGCAGCTAACCTAATCTATTGGTTCATTGTCTCGGCCGCTATTTTATTGAATTTCAAGCCAAAATGGCAGCCGTGACATCGTGTGAAAGCGTTCTATAAAAAATACTTATTATGATTGTGATTTTCTTTACGAATTCTATCAGAAAATGTTCTGGAGTTTTAAACGAATGCAGACTTCACTTGAACTGTTCATTGATGTAAGATTCATTAATTGATGGACTGTGTGATTGATTAAATCTTACGCTCGAAGGCGTCACCTGCTGAGTGATGATTGTTTATTGGCGTTTATTGTTTAAACACTGTAGAATGTCAGTACAATTTTCAATACTTGTTTTTTATGAATGATTTTCAGGGGAATTTAACTTGACGGAATGTGGCTGCAACAGTGCATGTGAGCAGACAGTTTATGAATCACGGGTCTCATATGCTAAATTTCCGGACAATACGCTATTAAGGATATTTCGACAAACTTATAATTTCAGCGAGAAATACCTCAGGTAAGTGAGCTTACATACAAGTGATCATTTGCCTTTGAACGGAGCTAGGAGGAGGAAGAAAGAGAAATCGTAAAGAAGCTAGTATTCTTTATTTAGAATAGCATGTGAAATAGAATCTCTGAGCACGTTTTCAGATTTCCGATTGACTCTGTTGAAAAAAGGACCAGAAATATTTCTGTTTCTATCAAATTAATACATTTCTTGTGTTTTCCTTTTCAACTTGTAAGTGAGAACTATGTTTATCTTCAAGTGGGATTTCAATTTTTGTCTTACGAGAAACGCGAAGATGTCCCTGGCTACACAGCTGAGAGCCTTTTCGGTAAGTCAACTATAATGAAGATTCGCCCTGTTTAGAATAAAAAATGCTTTGGCTACACAAAGGTGCTCACAGAAAAAACAAAAAAACAAAAAAACAAAAACAAAAACCTACCATTTTTAACGGAATTTTCCGGATTTTCTCAGGGATTGGATCTATGTCAGCCCAATAGTTCCGGCTGTGCCAAAACAAATTCGTCGCTGTATTTTCACACGAAAGACGAAATCACCGTCTCCCCCCTCCCCCGTCTCTTCCACCACTGTGGATGATCTAATTTAAACCCTAAGCTTTGCAATGTGAATTTTTTTCTAAGAAAAATTAAAACAAACATAACAAAGACAGAAAGGGGAAAATTCTAACCCACTATTGAAAAAAGACTTGTATATATCAATATATCGAGATATATCAATATTTCTTCTCGTTTGACATTGCAAAAGCTTAGAGTTTCAGTAAATCCTCTTGAGATCTTGACGGTTTGTTGGTGTTTCTGAGGTGCTGATAAACATACTCTTCCCAGTTCCTACGAAAGAGAAACCCAAGGAAAAGTGCCTTCGGCAAGAAAGTTACGTAAAACTGTATTAAGCCTTTACTACTTTTGTTATGGAATTGAATAAAAGGAAACAAGAAATAAATCATGACTTTCTTTATTTAACAATAAAAGTCATTTTCGTTTAGGTGAGCTTGGAGGCAACATGGGTTTGTTCCTCGGGTGCAGTATTCTGACCACCTGTGAGTTCCTCGACTTTCTATGGGAACTCGTACTATCCAAGATAAGGAAACGTCCTGTGGCAGTAAACACGGAGCCTGCATAACCAGCGCAGATGGATCTTACCGAGCATGCAGCTGTGGTGTCGTCTTATATAAATCTACATACCTTAATGTAATTCCTACTTTTATGATAATTTGGCTCATGTTGTGAACAGCCATTTTTGGAAGTGGGGTCATTTATTTGCTTTTTGATATTGATTTATCATGTAATGTTACTGAGCAGTTACTATGTCATATATACAAATCTTCATAACTGACGATCAGTGTAATGCCTTCCTTAAAGATAGTTTGGCGCATGGGTGAGCAGCTAGTGTGAAGAGAGATCACTGAAGAGTGTGTTTTATTTAGTTGCATTTTTGTACAGTATAGTATCCAGGTATAGTTGACTTACCTAAGAGCTGATTTCTAGTATATAACTAGGAAAATCCTCCCGCTGTTTGTGAGCTGGAATCGAAACCTACCGAAGTCAAGTGTTTCAATGGTGGAGAAAAAAAGAGATTACAAACAAAACGAAGTAAGAATAAATTTGGATGAAAACGGATCAAGCTGAGATGGCTATTGAATCGTTTATACAGCTTTTTATTTTTTAAGGTAATCTCTGACACATTCATACTTCCGTATATGACTGTAATGCCTCATTTCACTTGCTTTGCGGCTTTTGTAGTATATAAATAAACCGGAATTTTAAAGGAGCACACCATTTTAATATAAAATTATTCCTAGAGTATGAGATCAGACAACCGTTGCACTGTTACTGAGCAGTTACGATGTCGTTTTATACAAATTTTCAAAACTGACGATCAGTGTAATGCCTTCCTTAGAGATAGTCTGGCGTATGGGTGAACAGTAAGTGTGAAGAGAGATCACGGGAGTATGTCACATTTAGATGCTTTTTGTACAGTATAGTAATCATCATGTATAGTTGACTTACCTAAGGGCTACCGAGTGATTACCAAAATCAATTGACCGCGCAGCGGGAGTTCGATTTGTTCATGCCTCATGTATTAAATATATCAAGTTCAGTACCTTCAAAGTCATAAGCCGGGCTTTTTGGGGCTACAAAATAATAAAATAATCAAAGATTTATGCCAGGCAAATTGATCGAGAGTCCATCAAGTATAGTTTCCCAGAGTCGTACGGAAAGTTTAAAATGTGCTTCACTTGTGCAACATATACGGATTTATCTTTCTTACTTACTGATAAAATTCCGAGGGTGTGACTCAAGTAACGCAAAAGAAAATATAATCATTTATGAAATTCCGAGATTGTAACTCAATGAATTCAAAAGAAAATATCCAGGAAGGCTATAGAAACAGACTCTCAAAAACTGCTCCTGAATTCGAAAACTGTACACAACAATTCTTTACGCTAGCAATGTGCTTACCAGCGTGCTTGTGAGCTCAAATTGCCAGGACTCTGTTTAATTACACGATCAAAGCTCGATCACTGCAAAAAGTGATGACTATCAATTTCAGAGATTGATTTTTCAGTTTTAAGCATTAGGAAAAAAATTATCTTATTGCAAGCATGTTCATTACAACCCGAGCATTAAGAGAAAGTGGCTTCGAATGGATCGAGTAGAAAGAATGAAAACATAGAGCTGAAAAGTACCATGACCAAACAATGAAATTCACTACTCCCGCAGTAGGACTAACACCACTTACCCGTGAGTTTGTTTGCACCACGCATTTGCGGACTTAATGTGAACATGAACATCGCTGACTCAACCTCATTTTATTTCAATTTTCGGAATGAGATGGGAATGATAGAAACTTGTTCACACCGTTCGCTTTCATTTGACTAACACCACTTACCCGTGAGTTTGTTTGCACCACGCATTTGCGGACTTAATGTGAACATGAACATCGCTGACTCAACCTCGTTTTATTTCAATTTTCGGAATGAGATAGGAATGATAGAAACTTGCTCACACCGTTCGCTTTCATTTGAAAACTTTCTAGGCAAAAGATAAACTGTAAGATAACTTTTTTTCCCTTAACACCACGACTGCATTAAACATTCCAAACGATAGGACAATAAATACCCTGAAGAATACGAACACTTTGAGATGTTATTCGAGCGATGAACCGGCGCGAGGGTTTTAAAGCAATGGATGCCAAAGTCATTGTTTTCCGAATCGTGATTTTATTTTTAAACTGAACCTTGTATCTAACGACGATTGGTAAAAAAAGGTTTGAATTTTTCTGGGCCTTAGCGTAGGAGAAAACCCAGATAAGACACGACTTAACTTCTCTTCTTTCTCAGATACTTTGTAGTTTGCTTCCCTTTGTTGATGAGCTCTTTTTCAGTCTGTTTCCTGGAGCTCTTTGTATTTCCTTCTCTCTTTGCTCTTCGCTAGATATTAGCCTTTTCACTTATGCCTTTTCTTGTTCTCTGTTCGCGTTCCTCTCGCCGTATTCTGCCTACTTTAGCGTCCTTTTCAACTTTCTTGCGTAAAAAAAAATTACACACTGAAGTGGTGGCCAGATTGATTCGTGAAAAACACCCTGAGGTTTTTCCTACTCAACAGCAAGTTAATTAGATTTTGGATTCTACATTCAACTGGGTGAGATTAAATTTATCATACTTCATTATGGTCTGTTTACATGAAAGTGTAATTGCTCATATAACTTCACAGATGTTTTGTTGCCGTCTGAATAAACGTTCATAACGAAGTTTCGTGTAGCGTAGAATATTTCAAGAACTTTCTCCCTTTCTCTTCAATATCATTTACTCTATCTGGAGCACAGTTGAAGGAAGCAGGTTATTAAAAGAGTTACAACTTTTGATTCGGGTAACTATTTGAATATGTGAGTAACATTTGATGTTTTTACATGTGACAGGATGATCAAGCTGAAGATAGCATCATAAAAGAGCGAACTTGATTGTAACAATTTGGTGGCTAATTTGGAAACTTGAGCTCTTGGTAAATATACCTTGGCTTGCAATTTGGATGATTACAGTTTCCTGAGATCATTGTAGTATCATTCGCCATGCAGGAACCTTCCACATGACCTGTACAGTCATATGCTATGTGATAACTAAAAGAACTGCATTTGTGTTGGTAGAACTATTGTAAACACAGAACAACATAGTGACAAAAGCTAATGATTTCCTGGCAAGCATCATTTTATTACGTGTAGGGATTGGTATTGTCTATAAAAGTGTAGTCGAATTAGAGTTTTTTGCACAGCCTATGCATCAAATTTATGCTATGTATCCTTTTTAAAACTAGTTTATCAGAATAAGAATGAGTTACCGGGGACATGTATGGCTTTTCACGATGATAGTTTCCAGGTATAAAAAAAGGCACTGCCCACTAAAATCCTCAGTTCCTTTGCCCTCACGGCCCAACCTCATCAAAACATTGGCAACAGCTGCAAATTTGTAGCAAATTAATGAAACAGACAAGAGAGCCTATTCCTGCAAGCACACTCCACAATCCTGTTAGCTTATTATGGACATGGCATTTCAAACATGGTGCATATGCCACAAATTTTCCATTTCTGTGACTAATTCAACCTATTTGATATAGCTGACAACAACATCAACTCAACTTTTTAACTAAAGAGAAAAGTTGATTCATGTTTGGAATTAATTTCTGTGATGTACAAGGGAAATCCAGGTATTATCTCAAGTTTTCTGCCAATGTCTTCATGATCGAATCCTAAGTCTCTCTTCGTTATCAAGTTTTCATCATCACATTCTTGTTCTGGTTTGTCTCCGTTTAAATCAAACTTTCGCAGCATAAGAAACATGTTAGACAAATTTCGTATTTCAGTAACTTGAGTTGCTAAGATCATGGACAGCTGGCTTAACGACCCCTACATCATATATGCAATTACAGCAGAGGTTACAGAATTAATTAAAAGAGAAAATTTCAAGAAAGACGCCGTGTATTTCCAGCCAGACGATAACCATGAAACAAGAATAGCCAAACGGAAAAAATTTTAAAAATACAGGTTCAAACACGATTTGAAATTGACTTTTATTTTTATATTTCTACCCTAATCAGAGGAGTTTGAAACGTTAGGGAAAAACGGTGGGGCAAGCAATTATACCTGGCAACTTCAAGAGAAGATATAACAGAAGCCCATACGATTCTGGCGTATTGTTTTACTGACTTACTCTTCTTATGCTAATACTCTTCAATCGACCGGTGATGTCTTAACACGAAGTAGCTTACCGTCGCTTCTTTCAATTTGGCTCATTTTCCCAAACCGAAATTATCAGTCACGCTCAACAGAATATAATTTCAACTGATGCTGACATCATACACATCATCTGAAGAAGAAAATATTCCCTATCTTCGAAAATTTACTCAGACCATGAAATCAAGGTTGTTTTCAAAATGTGTCAGAATTCCCCTTTCATATCTACTCTACGCATTGTTACAACTTGCACACAAAAAACAGCGAAAAAAATCCTAACATTGACCAAATTATGAAGAAACGAAATATAGGTGAAATCAACCTCAGATAAATCTTGTAAAATCTAAAACGCATGATGCGAAAATAAATTTTGGAATCACCTGCTGACGTCTCCGCGTGGGCTTTTGTAAAAAAAAAAACAAACAAAAAATAAAAGCGGGGAATTTTGTTTTAAAAAAAACCTTTTATTACAAATAAGCGTGCGCCTGCGAATAATCGGTTAACTTCAATAATTGTGACTTATTTTTTCCTAACATTTCTTTCTGGCTTTTTTAAAACTTACCATTGCAACTTTTAAAAAAGTTAACATGTATCAAAGAAGCTTCTCATAAAAAACAGGTATACCTGTATTACCTCGATAGCGCGACAAGAGAATCGTTTTACCAGAATCGTTCAAGAGAATTGTTATTCAAACCCTCTTCAGAAGTCACGAGAGAGACATCGTGAATATTAATTATTCACCTATGAAAAATTCAAGTTGCCTTGAAATCAAAGTTGATTTAAAAATGTGCGAAAAACTGTCTTTTTGAAATCAAGGTTGACTTGAAATCAAGGTCAAATTTCGTGAGTTGCCTTGAAATCAAGGTTGTTTTCAAAATGTGCCAAAGTTCCCCTTTCATATCTACTCTACGCATTGTTACAACTTGCATACAAAAAAAGAGCAAAAACAAAGCCTA